TTAGCATTCATTCACTGCCTGACTCTGAGAGGTCTGAATCAAGCCGAATTTCGGAGAAGCAAGGCCTCCGACTCTGGTGTCATGTTTCGCAACACAGCTTGGCAAGACTGCATCAGCTTTGTATCGACTTTGACACCGTTGAATGTGAAGCCGAGCTCTGCATACCCAAGCGATCTCAAGCCAGCATGCAGCGACTCCAGCATCTTCGGGGCGGACTTGTCCGTCATCTCCGCGACGACACACAATTTCCGACACCAAGTCAGGAAGCTGTCACAAGATGCAAGCGCGACCCTTCGCAGGTCCTCGTTCGACTTCAGGCTGGCAACCGCCAGCTTGGGTCGGTCCGAGCTGTGCACTTGGAGGGTGACGGTCAGCATGCACTCGAGCAGACAGCGCATCGACTCGGCTGAGACATTCTCTGCGGTCATCTCCTGCAGGACCTTGACCTCGGCATGTAGAGGCAATCGTGGCAATCGGCGATTCGTCGGAGCCTATTAAGCATGATTTGACTCGCAAGACACACGAGGACTATCTGCCAAAGGGGTGCCCAAAAAGCAGCGACCATCAGCCTTCCACCGACGACCGGCATATCCTTGGGGAGAATCCCCTCTTCCGGAATTTTGGTTACCGACGCAACCACTGTCGTGGGAAAGATGAGCCGTTGCTTCGTTCCCATCACAATCGGCAGAAAGCATTCCTCGACCACCTGCATGACCTTGGGCTAGGGCTAGGCTTATTAAGTAAGAAGAGGCAAAGTTCACAGGGCACACACAGTCATGCATCAGCCAACCGACTGCGCTGAGAGACTGTCGTGAGCAGGAGAGGGTCGACTGGGCATCGCGGAGGGCTCATTGCCGAAACCCATGCCAAATTGCCCCCTGCCTCATATAGGCTCTCTTTCTTGAGTGCCGTTTTTGCTCGACTTGTATCCCAAACTTCCTTGAATCCGCTGACTCCCGACGACTTCTCTTTGTCCTCGATGGCCAGCGGCACAAGCTCAACCAAGCTTTTCTCTTCTTTTTTTAGGAGCTTCAGCTTCTGCAGCACTTCAGGCCATGCATCTTGAACCTGGCTGCTATGGCAGCAGACTCTCAAGGATGACAGGAGCTGTGCTACAACATCTGGCTAGCAGCATCACGCACAATTAACAAAGTCCCGGGCGTACTGTTCCACATCACTCAGGAAGGCTCGGCTGACATCGGCACTGTCCCACTGCGACTTGTCGGGCCAGGCCGGCAAGGTCTTCGCCTTCTTCGATGCTGGAGGCATGGCTTCTGAAGGCGACTCCGCTGCTACAGGCAGCTTCCTAATTTAATACACCTACGACTGGAAACGGCCATTCAGAATAATAAGACTCACAAGCCGCTCAAGCACTCGCAGTACGTGCAGCAACGGAGCTTGCAGTTTGGTGAATCTGAAGCCTATCAAAATTCAAGCCAAGCCCAGGCCGATTAGGCTTAGCTCAAAGGCTTGATGGGACTAGTAGACGCTTAGCGGTTATCGCATCGGGTACTCCTGGAGTCTGGAGCTTGAGGCTATGCCCTTGGACTACTGCTATTTACAACCGGCCTAAATTTAATACAACGCGGCTTCCTAAGGTTTAGACTGGCACGACTTTTAGGACTGTAGGCCAGGATATAGCCTAGAGCTAGAAGCTTAAGGCTCAGACTGCTGTCTATTGCTGCCCTCAAGGCTCAAGGCCGAGCTCCACAGCCTAGAGCTAGAAGCTTAAGGCTCAGACTCAGACTGCTGTCTATTGCTGCCCTCAAGGCTCAAGGCCGAGCTCCACAGCCTAGAGCTAGAAGCTTAAGGCTCAGACTGCTCTCTATTGCTGCCCTCAAGGCTCAAGCCTGAGCTCAACAGCCTAGAGCTAGAAGCTTAAGGCTCAGACTGCTCTCTATTGCTGCCCTCAAGGCTCAAGCCTGAGCTCCAGGCCTACTACTTCCGGGACTCAGAGCCAGGAGCTATAACCGGTT